CCTTTCATCCGGCTCTTAAATATACCTGGGAAATTTCCGACAATTCTTTGGCTTTTCTAGACATCAAAATTTCAATTGAAGGCAACGGCTTATGTACTAGTGTTTACTACAAACCTACAGATTCACATATAGTTACTTGTTGTATTCATCCTCACATCCATCACACGTCAAGAACTCCATACCTTTTTCACAGTTTCTCAGACTTCGTCGTTTATGTAGTGACGACTCTGATTTTTCCGAAAAATCAGAGGCAATGTGCCAGTTTTTCGATAAACGCGGCTATCCTGTTTCTGTCGTTCAAGCGGGCTACCACCGTGCCCAACAAATCGATCGACAGGCAGCACTACAAACGGCCGAGAAGGAGAACACGGATCGCATTCCATTTACTCTTACATTTCACCCTCACAACCACGCAGTTAAATCTATCATTCTTAAAAATTTTAAATTACTCCAAAACGATTCAGAGACTGGCACTATCTTTTCGCAACCCCCACTTATTTCATTCAAACGTGACAAAAACATAGGCAACTTTTTAGTCAGGAGTTCATTTCTAACCAATGACCAATCTGGAACTTTTAAATGCGCTCGCTCACGATGCAAAACTTGTCCTTTCATTCATATCGTAGAGAAAATATCGGATCCCAAAAGATCCATTAAGATCATTGATCACTTTACGTGTACCTCCGCCAATGTTATTTACTGCATAACTTGCACTTATTGCAATAAGTTATACATCGGCGAGACAGGAAGACGACTGGGTGACCGATTCCGAGAACACCTTCGCGATGTGGAAATAAATGACAAGGACGCATCCAAGCCAGTCGCTAGACACTTTAATCTTCCTTATCATTCTAAACAGCATATGGCAGTTTGCGGCCTTTCCTTACATCTAGGCAGTTCGGAAAGCCGTAAAACACTAGAACAAAAATTTATATTTCAAATCAGCACCCTTAATCCCCACGGAATCAACGAGCGCTTTTCATTCAACTAATTTATTCCTGTTTTCTTGTCACAATATTCCCACCAATGGCGTAGCTCCACCTTCTACATATAAATCCACACACAACCCACAATTCCTCTAATCGCTCTGACGAAGGGCTAACGCTCGAAACGTCAGCTTTTTTACTCTTTACGGTGGCTAATTTACGTTTTCAACCCAGTTGTTAACACTAAATTACCTGCTATTCGCAAAAACAGTATGTTAGTATCGCATTCAATTCTCTAGCTTTTTTTTAAATCGAATGCAATCAGCGACATTAGAGGATTTTGGCGGAATGACTTGCCAATGAAGATTTTAGCTTAGGGTTGGATCGTCTGTGATACGTTACTCAAACTTCTGTATTACCAATATGAAGCTGGCGAGTGCCGTGTCAGTATAAAGGGCTCTTGGCCGCATAGTGTCGGTAATTTGATACGTTAATCTTTTATAACAGTCTATAGAATAACTGATTCCTTTTCAAATCAACTTCCGATAAGGAGAAAAAAAGGAAAAAAATCAGCGACAACAACACCTTAGCCTGTGAACAGCCGTCCCCTACACTAGAAAAAACAGTATCAAAACTCCAAGCCTGTTAACAAGGGAGAATTTCGGATTTTGATCAATTTAACGCCTGCTTATGTTAGGAGTGAAGGGTTAAAACTCTTTGTGAAAGTGGTGCACGACATTTGCAATTGTCGTTTCGATTTTTGAATATAGAAACGGCAAATATTGAAACTTGTTAAAAATCAAAGTGCTCTGTGAGCAAACTCGTGAATTGACACATTATTTTTTAGATTATGTTTAGTGTTATCTGGTTTAGGGAATTTTGTGGTTGATTGTCATATCTAGAGTACGAGCAGTAGTTCAGTATTCGCTAATGTAGCAAAGAAACAAAGTAACGTTGGGATAAGAAGGCATTACAATTGAAATGATCATGCTATTACATTTGACAAGGTGGATGATGTCATGTGTTTTAAACGTCTATCATTTTTGTTTCTGGTTCAAAAGAAAAGGTTGGAAGTAAATGTGGGTGAAAAGTGAAATTTACTGTCTTTCGTTGTAAATATTAGAAAATCAAGGCAATACTGTCATAATGAAAACATTAACGATTCCCTCTTTATCAAATGAGACAAACGGGAACGAGTTTTGAGTGAAATAACTAAGCCAAGACTGCCACCGTCATTTTGGATCTCCACCTGGGTAGATTTAAGTCACGTGCTAGGCAACGTATAATCAATAACAAGATAGAATTTCATTTCAGGCCTATTTATCAAACTTTCGCATTTTAGTACGTTGTATGTATGTTGAATCTTCAAATTGTCTTGAAACTTAAAAGAAAATTGTTCTTTAAAAATTCACTGAAAATCGGTAGCTAAAATTGTTTGTCTAGGTGTTATTTGATTTTCGAGTTAACTTGTAATTTCGTCAGTCACCGGCATCTTCTGTTGCTTCACTCAGTCAGTTCTTTTAACACCTTTCTTTATCATGGCTGTCTATAGATAACCAGGACTCAATGTTCAAAGCCATTGAAGCTTTGTCCAAACGCCTCGACTCCCTGGACACAAATAAGGAAAGAAACCTGAATTTAGTAAACGTGAATGTTATGAACATGTCTGAAAGGACGATTGCTTTGGAAATGAAAGGTATGCATATTTACATTGATTTTCGACTTGGGTTGTATTGCTTTTGCTTTAATGCGGTTTGTGATTGGTCTATGAAGGAAACTTGGGCCTCTCTCTCAAACAAGGAGATGCAAAACGAAAAACAAGTCTGACTCAATGACGAACATTTCTCCTACTTGTGGCCGTTCACGTTGAGTCACCAATCCTCCCTTGTGATATAATTTTCCTACACAGTTAAACCTGTATTTAGGTGGTTACCTACGAATAATGGCTGGGGGGGGGGGAAGCCGCGTAAGACAGGTTCCACAGAGAAGAGGTCATATAAAAACGATGTAAAACGCCAATTTGAAGCCCAAAAATTTTTGCCAATAGGCAAGTGGAAAGTAAGCTTCCAACATATGTTCAAGGATGTGATGTAACGCAATCCGATCGCATCTAACCTTTGCTTGCGAATGACTTGGTGATCTTTGGCTTCATTTCTTCGAATGTATTCCACACAAACCTTCTATCAACACACGTGGGGAACCTCCCGAGAAATTCAATATTATTTCCTGAAAGTAGACTTTCAAAAGTGTAAAAGATTTATTTGACGGTTCGATTTAATTTCATTTAAATATACTCGCGTGTCAAAATCTCAGTTCTTGGAAAATCTCAGATATCTTTTCTTTACACAGATAACCTTAATACCCCTTTTTTTAAATTATGTGAAAATTACAATCACGCAGGGCGTTTATGAAATTCATTTTGATTCCGTAAGAATCGAAATTTGTTTGAAAAAGTTTCTTTTTTGACATTTCGAAATTACACCGTGAACCAATTTTTTTTTATCCATGCATTTATTATTGAAAGATTTTAAGATCTTTATTTATGTCTTTCAATTTCTTCAGGAAGACTGGCTCTAATTAACAAAACAGTCGATGCGTGGTACACTCTCCTCACTCGTTTAACAAAAGTGTCGTAAGGAAACTGGATGTCGTGATTAAGTCAATCGAAGAGCTCTCTTTGCAATTTAACAACACATCTGAAACGATAAAGGCATCGGTTATGGAAGGAATGCATCTTTTAAATAATTTTCACTTGCGTGTTGTAAGCAATGTAGGATTGCTTGATTTTGCTTTACCGTCCTATGCAAACTTGCATCACCCTAGCTAGCCTATCAACTATTATGATGTAAAAATAATCATGGTACAATCAGAGATGAGAAACTTTATAACATTTCTCAAGAGATTTATGTTTTTCTTTATTAATCTATATTGACATATTTATATTCATGCGTCTATGTATTTACATGTCTCTTTCTATTAGTCAGGAAAATTTGTCCTTTGTTGAAAAACCCGAAGAATGGTTTTTCACACAGTCAAAAAAACTGCACGGAGGAGTTTATTTCATTCAGTTGTAATCGTGGTTACTGGTTAAATGGACCCTCAGAGCGTCTCTGCCTGAACAACGGTTCATGGACGGGAGGGCAGCCAACTTGTAAATTTGGTAAGAGTTTCACTTGATAATTATTTAGAGTGTCTTTCGGGTAAGGCTAGTTCTGAAAAATTTTTTATTAGCCTTAATGAAAACCGGAGACGAAGTATGTCATTAAAAGTAGTTAGATCATCTAATGATGAAGATGTAGATGTAGATGAATGTAGGTGTAGATGTAGATGTAGATGAAGCACTGGGCAAAGTCCCAGTCAATAGTGTTGTTTGTAGGTTGATGACGTTCAGCTATTTGATTTTTTGACATCATCGCTCGTTTATGTTCAGTCAGTTTTCCGTTGAAGTACCTGCAAACCTCTCTGATGTTACAGGAAGCCCAGAAACTGGAATCCCTAATCTCGTTTGTGTGTATTTACCTTTAGTCGGTGAATGACAAAACGCAATCATCAATTTGTTGGTTTTTCGGACGTTGTGGGGTTGTGATTCGCAAGATGCTTCCGGACATATCTGTTATGTATTGCAGGATCACTGAAAAGCTACGAGTCCCGGTGTAGATCGTATATGCAATTTCATTATGCTTGAGGGTGTTTCGTCCCTTTAATGAAGCGTCGTTGAAGTTGCTCTGGAAATAATTGCAAAGTGCATTTAATAATCACCGGATAAATTGTGCAGTGTTTTGAAAACTAGTTGCGCTCGTCTTGTTAGAGTTATAATTGTCGTAGCTTTCTGGGATGTCATGTTTTAGTAGAATATGTCTTGAAATTACTTGGAGTGTTGTACGTAACAAGGAATATTCTTGATTCTGTGATACAAGTTACTAATCATTCTTGAAGGGAAGAGCTTTAGACTTTTCTCGTGGGTAGAACATTCTGTTAAGATGGTTATAAAAACTTGATTTCCTCAATAAATTTCCTTTCGTTTGATTTCAGTCAGCCCGAACTACTCTTTGTTATTTCCATATAAGAGTAAAAATGATTTCGTAATCATCACGCATGGAATGCCAAGCCTTACAGCTGTGACAGTTTGTATGTGGATAAAGACTAATGCTACAGGAAGAGGAACACTTTTTAGCTATGCTGTCAATGAAGGATATAACGAACTGCTCTTAGTAGCGCCCCAAAATTTTGTGTTGCACGTGAGATCAGTTAAGAGGTAAGGGAATACACTTCCATTGGGGAATAAGAACGATACACTGCACATGCACATGTAGAACCAGCCATGTACTATTTGAATCATGAATCGGCAAAAGTAAATGTTGTCTAGCTATTTAATGAACCATATTTAGCTAATCCTAATAGGGGAACCCTGAATGTTATTTCCTTACACTTATTATCCATGAAATAAAGAACTATTGGACAAAGACGAGGGTTGACTTAAAAACTCTCGGCGTTGTACGTTTTTCTTTCTCAGATCTATCTATATATTGATATGAAGACGCATCACTAGCAAAAAACTTATATTTAACTTACTTAGCGAACCCAAAGAGCTCTTTTCAAGTTTGCAAATCAAGTTGAGCAATCTTCAATTTGCTTCATGAGAAGGAATGCTAATTCGTGGTTGCTTCTTCGGTCTACTGATATCACGTCTGAACATTTGTGGTAATGAGTGCATAAAGGGAGAGGCACGAACGTAACCCTAACCTTTACGTGCAGAAAGAGATAGAAGAGGGATACAGGTTCAATAATTATCGCACCAGACTCAAAATCTATCACACCAATAATCTTCAACTACTTTATCGATCGTTTAACCTTTTCAAAATGGATTACTAAGGAAAGACTTCGAATCCTTTCAATGCTCATTATAGAGGTCCCACCGGAGTATCTGCCAACGATGGAAAGTGGCATCACATCTGCTTAGCATGGGAGAATACCGCTGGATCGTGGAAATTGTTCAAGGATGGTTCATTGGGGGGTAATGGTGAAGGATTAGCAAAAGGTAAGTTGTACTCAGAAAATATCGAACATCAAACTAATTCACAAGATTTTTCCGTTAGGCAGGTCGAGTATTTTAACAAAAAATGTGAAAATTTGCAGATTAAACGCTTTGCTTACTACAACTTTATTTAAACTGTTTGCTCTGGTATTATTTAAATACTTTTACTACTTTTCCTCAAATTTGTTTAAAAGCACGACTACCGAAGGAATGGAGAAATTTTCTTGCTCTTAATTACAGGCCGATTGATCCGCGGAGGTGGACACCTTGTACTTAGACAGGATCAAGACGACTTGGGAGGATGCTTTGAAGAACATCAAAGTTTTACTGGTGAAATGGCAGATGTCAATACCTGGAATCACGTGATTTCAGACCAAGAAATCAGGCGCATGTCCAAATCGTACCTGACAGGGACGGGAAATTTGTTTCAGTGGAGCGACTTCAAATATTACCGAATGGGCTCAGTGCAAATAGTTCAGCCTTCTTGCTTAAATTAAATTGCGTAATGCTCTACTGAAGTTGAACTTTTATTCGTATTTAGATAGTTTTAGGCTTGTTTCATTAAGTTTAATTTTAAAGTCCAAAACAATCGTAAAAATGATGCACTAAGTGTTAAGCACCCTTCTTTTTCACTGTGAAACTTTTTAAATGTTATGGAAATGTCGTTTCCGTTCTTAAAATTTCTCTCATTATTTTGCTAATTTGCCGCGTGAAGAATTATCTTTCCCTTCTGGGAAATAAATTACCCTGAGATCTTGTAAGATGTATGAAAATATTAATTAATATGAATGGAAAATACAGCCAGGCCGTTAACTTTAAGGCAGCCTTTCAAAAACAAATTTCTGGGCCGATCAACACACAAAAAAATAAATAGAAAGGGTTGAAACTCTAAGGTAGTACCTCTTTTATAATTTTTTTATTTCTTTTTTTGTTCCTTTTTCCCCTTTTTTTCTCTTTTTAATTGTTATTTTTGCCCTTTATTATCCTTTTTCTTCAAGTTCCAGGCATTCAGTCGGGGGAGACGAACAGGAGAGCGAAAAATTTTTCCCCGCGAAAAAAAAATAGAATGTGCAAAAAATGGCATGCAAAAGAGCGTTCTCTTTCTGTTGCCGTATCCCTAACAACCATGGTTAACCGCAACCGACATACGCCAAGTTGCTTGCCATTTTTAGCCTGTCTGTTTTTCGTTTCTCTCTCAACTAATATCCTAGTCCAAACCAAGAGAGATGTTGTTTTCGAAGAGTCCATGTGTTTCTTGCTATCACCAATGACGTGTCGTGGGTTTGGCTAGTAGTCGCGGGTCACGGGTCGCGACTCGTAAGATAAAATCGCTAACAACCTGTATTTTCAGTATTAAACAGGTCATGAAACCACTATTATAGAAATATTTTCAATCACGTTTTTATTCATTTTTCCTGTTTTTTGTAAACATCAATATATCTTGGTGTACGTGTCCCCTTTTTTTGTGGTATTAATAATGCCCGACCACGGCCATACAGAAGCAGACGTGGACATGTTTTTCATCCTTTCATCACGGACACAAGTTACCCGAATGAATTTTGAGCCGGTGATCTCACCGAACCAGTATCTCCATAATTTTCAAAGCTGAAGACAATAATATCATAGTTAGTAGAGGAGACTAACTATGATTTTAATGAAGCAAATTGTAGACTTGTGTTTTGTGGTTTAAATTTAGAGCGGCATTTGGTTCTTGTTGGTCCGTTCTCGATTGTTATGTAATAATTCATAAACGAGGAAGTGTTTTATCAGGGTTTCTAAACACGAGGAAACTGGTGAAAGCAAGAGACCGAAGGCGGGGTGCCTTTGTGCTTTTTTTTGGTTGTTTTTCTTTTAAATTGGTTTCTCAAAAGGGTCAATTTCATTATCAGTAAAATAAAAAACAACAACAGAAAAAACATCACGCATATATTTATTTTTGCTTTCTATTATTGCATTATCACATGTGCATATTTGCCAGTAAGTGTGATGAAATGTGTTTTTGTTCTTTTTTAGCCAGAGTAAGTTTCACATAAATTATGCGCGAAAACTTGATCATTATCGTTCTGACCGTCACCCATGGCATCGTGCCGAAAATTATGCTTAAATTTTTCTTTCTGTTCAATTCGATAATTCAAAATAATAGCTTTTAAGGACCCCTCGACCTCCCGTCCCCCTGCCGTATTCCTACCACCAACAGGTAACACTTGCTAACAATAAAATGCTTACCGAAGTTCAGAAAATAAACATTTTGCTGAACAAATTCCTCAAGCGCAAGCAAGAAAAGCAGGCTTCCTGTTGACAGCACTCAGGATGGAATTAATTTCTTGGTAAACTGTAACATCAAGGGATTTTTATGAAGTCACTTACTATAACATTATGCCAACATTATGCCGATATAAGTTATCTGACCCTAACCAATGTTCTTTAGAGGGAAAAGTATTTACTGTGGCCTAAATCTTCTTTGGAACTCAGAGAAATCTCCTTACCGTGAAATATATAAAGCATTACTCAGTGCCACGAAAATAATGAATTTAGCAGAGAAATGATAATTACAGATTTGGCTGATGAAGCTTGAAGGTAAATGTATTCCATGGTAAACGCTTTTTTCTTAAATGAGGATAGTGACTCTCCGTCCATGTTTCAAAAACTAGCTTCCAAGAAGTTGATAGCACACTGTGACAAACGCTTTGAGGTAGGTTCTAATCAATAAACGGAACCACTCATTATTTGTCACTTGACTAAGTCAGCCAGTCAATGAATAATGGCTGAAATATTCAGTTTTACCTGCAGAATATTTGAGCACAAACAAATTGAAGCTAGTGATAGGCGCCCACTTCCTGACGCTTATTTGAAAAAATTCTTCGATATTAAAATTAGTGGTAATAATAGTACCGATAATTACAATGATAATAATAATAAAAAATTGTCGTTAGTATGTACCAAGATAGTGGATAGTGTTGATATCCCGCTCTGATTGGTTACTTAAATTCCGAATTTCCTTTGTTATTCACCTCTAAGTAACGCGCGCCGGATTTGCTCCTGAAATTTATTTCAGTCATTGCAAGAATAAATGAGTGACCTTTTTGTGCTATATTAACTCTCTGCTTTGGTATATACTAATTTACTAAAACAGCTATTCAACTGAGTGTGGGTAGCAGGGGTAGATATTTTCTTCGCCGCTTCGCAGCTCGGGAAATATCTTCCACTAGCCACCTCTACTTTGGCAAATATTTGTGAGTATTATATTTCGAACAGTTTCTCCTTCTCGCGCGATTGAAAAGAAATCAGTAACCTTATCAACTCAGATGATAAAACCTAATTATCTTGTGCCACAATCGCACAAAAAGTAGGGGAAATGTTTATAGAAGAAAAATATGTTTGTGACAAAAAGTGAAACATTACGCACTTTAGGATATCAATAGTGGGGGAAAATCTTGAAAGCTAGGATGACGAAACAATATAATATTGTTCACCATTCCTTGCATTGTATGAAAACGACGGGAGTAATCAGGACTGGGCTCTGGAGACTTCCTCTATAATTATCTGGGATACTGAGTTCCATCCAGTTTTAGCATCACCCAGTGTACGACTACACTGTCCTACCCATAACTCCACAGTAACTCTACCCTGTGGAATATTTTCACAGTATCCCTCAAATGATCTGTGATGAAGCAGATTAGGATTCCCAGATGGCCAATTGTTGTACACAGCAGCCTCAATTGTCATTGGTCCACTGCATTCATTTCCATTAAACTTGAAGAACCACCGGTTGCATTTAACTGAACTGCCATAGACTAAAGTATTTCCCTGGAATGAGACTGTATCAGATTGAATCTTGTTGATGCCGAGATGATAGTCTTAGTGCAAAAAAAAATACTTATAAGAGCGTTATAGGAAACAATTTGATGATGACCTTGAACTTCTCCTGCCTTTTAGAACGCACAGAATTGTTAATTGATTGACTGATGTTTTTAGTTTGGCGGTATTTCTCAAAAGTCTCTTTCAAAGATGGCCATGACAAATTGGCTCTAACTCCTCATTTATTTTTCATTACATTTTCTGGATGTTTCTGTACATTAATCTTTCCACTATCTCTACGTACTATCAGCATTTTTCCACACACACTGTTTCCAGTTGGTCTGTGACACTGCACTATTCACGATTTCTCCTTTCTCTCCTTTAGATCCCTGCTCTCCTTTCACACCCTTGATTCCTGGCGGTCCACTGCTGCCACGTGACCCTTCATGACCTTTATCTCCTTTTATTCCCATCATTCCAGGAGCACCATTTTTACCCAGTGAGCCTGGATTTCCTTTTAATCCTCTTGTTCCCGTTATACCTCTCGGTCTCTTGACACCAGGCTCCCCCTTTGCCCCAACTTTTCCTTGTTGTCCTTGCGGCCCTGGGGCGCCACGAATTCCCGGCATTCCTGGTATGCCATTTGATCCTGGAATCCCAAAAAATCCGGGAGCGAAAACGGATTTCTGAGGAAGAAAAAAAGAACATATTTTAATTTGATGGACGTACTTGATGTTCATTGATATTTACATGTTCGCCGGAGTAGAAACTAATCTTGATGAGAATTTAGCTTCATTTTAGGAAAAACAGCTCGAAACATCGAATGATCTCGTAACGTTGTATACGTAGAAATATCCCTAAAAGAAATAAATTTTATTCAGCAATGTTATACTGTGTCTATGAAAACTTATGATTGATGGGGGTTTTTTTTGTGCTTAGCTTGGCAGACATGAATGATAAACTGAGGTATGACAAATGAACGCGTCATGAAGTACAGCGATTTTGGAGTAAATAATCGTGAATAAAGCATGCTTAAGAGTACCTCATAGGGATCTTTGTCAGCGCCAGTTTGAGGATTCTGTTGTTGAGGACTGGTGGTTGGTCCCACGGAACATACTCCTGTTTCGGATGAGAAAAATAACAAAGCAGCGAGGATCAGAAGCTTCGCCATACTCCGATGGTTACTTTTCGCGAATAGTTCGTGATTTATGACTGAAATATATATCTCCTTATGTACGCGCCAACTTATATCCTACTGAATTTCATTAAATGCAAACTGTCAGTTCTCATGTTAAATAACAATATTAATTAAGAAACCTGGAGCTGAATGATAAGGATGTCTGAAACTACTCGAACTCACACACCGGGTAAACAACTTGGCTGTGATATCCTTATCAGTTCACTAATGAAGCACGTACTGACCAACAGACCAATGTTTCACTCAGATTCAGAAAAATTACGCAGTAAAATCTGGGCCACAAAGTCTTCCTCTTCTGATCAAACGTGACATATATTATAAGTTTGATATGGTCTGTGATGTGATGTTCATTTGTCCTTAGCTCGATTTCGGTATTCATGTTATTGGATCCATTCCAAAATAGTATAAACCCTTTTTAACGCCGCATGTTTGATCTAAACTTATCTGGAGGTGGTGTGTTAGATTTTCGCGTTCAAAATCTGTTGATTTTTTTTAATGATGGTACAAATTGTAGACCCGTCTCACTGATATGAAATTGAACTGAAACTATAATGTGTTTAAAACAGATCATAGCACCCATAGGCATACGTGCCGGGCAAATCAAAATTTTACAAAAGTTTTCATGTTTCGTTTCGTCCTTTTTTTTTAATTGAAAGAGTTATTTTTTGTTTTGAGCTTAAGTCAGCGTGGTAGAGCCAGTTCAATTCATCTCCGGATTGTGTGTTTTGAGAGTAATTCTGAGCAATACACACAGGACAAGAATCTTTTTGATACGTTTCCAGATTTTTTCGAATAAAGTGGTACATATCTTTGCAGTAATACCTGCTACATCCACGCATCGTTTTTTACAGAACGATCATTCAGTGCATTGCACAGATTAGAACTTACTTCCGCAGCACCATGGAGCAACAACATGTTAGTAACATCGCACTTATTAACATTTAAAGGGAATATGCAGATTCTGTAGTCATCAGTGACATGGATCATATCATTGGTCGAAATGGCAGAGACAGCTATTTCTTTTAAAGTGTTTTATGAGCTCGTATGATAGAGTCATACATAAGAATATATATTTATTTCATATAAAAGCCGTAGTTTATCGTATGACCCTTGCTTCTCTTCAACTGTTTCTTGAAAACGTGGACAACTTGCAGGCATTTTTTGGGCAAGTGGTTCAAACCCCCCCCCCCCCCCCCCGGCAGAATATAGCCCATACGTCTATGAAAGGATTAGTTTAGTTGACCCGTAATTAAATATCACGGATAACAGTGTTGTGATTTACAAACTGCGGCAGGATAAAAGCGGTCAAGCCCTTAGATGTTCAAGAGAGCGTTTCTGCGGACTCTGAAGCGCCTGATATCATGTGTATTTTTTCTATGGTCGATTACGGTATTCATACTCATACTGAGGCGGTGAGATATATTTTCATCTCCGAAATCTTTTTTTGTGTATTAATGGTACAAGTTGCAGACTTGTGTTGTAAAGTTAAAATAAACAACGATATTATGTCTCATGTTGACATGTTCTTGAAAGTAATGTTTCTATAATTACCACTATTTTAGGTGTTTTATTTTTCTACAAGACTTGGAGGTTTTTTTTTTTTATCAGCGAAAGGGTCACATCTGTTTTTTCCGGATAACAGAATTTATTTCTAAAATGTAAGCCTTCAATGCTTCAGATTATTTTCACACACTCTTATGTGCCGCTATCTCGCTGGAATGAAACTTTACTAGCTGTAACAGACTGCAGCTTGTTGAATGAGCAAGCCAATTAAAAATGCCAAGAAGACAGTCTTAGTGCAAAAAAATGTTTTATGGGACTATTACAGGAAATAATTTGATGATGACCTCGTACTTTTCCAGCCTGAATGCACAGCGTCGTTAATTGATATTTTTAGTTTGGTGGCATTTCTCAAAAGTCTCTTTCAGAGATGGCCATAACAAATTAGCTCTAACACTTGATTTATTTTTCATTTCATTTTCTAGATATTTCTGTACCTTAATCTTTCCACCATCTCTATCATCATTCAGATTTTTCCGCCCACACTCTTTCCAGTTGGTCTGTGACAATGTACTATTCACGCTTTTAAGTCTTTTAAATATCAGAGATAACAGTGTTGTAATTAACAAACTGCGTCAGGATAAAAGCAGTCAAGCCCTTAGATGTTCAGGAGAGCGTTTCTGCGGACTCTGAAGCGCCTGATATCGCGTTTATTTCTTCTATGGTCGATTAAACTATTCATACTTATATTGAGGTTGTGATGTATATTTTCATCTCCAAAATCTGTTGTTGTGTATTATGTGTACAAATTCCAGACTTGTGTTGTGAGGTTACAATTGAGAACGATATTTTTGTGTCCCTTTTGGTATGTTCTCCGAAAGTGATGTTTTTATAATTACTACTGTTTTAGGTGTTTCACTTGTCGACAAGAGATAAAGGTTTTTTTTTTATCAGCGTTAGGGTCATATCTGTCTTTTTCGGAGAGCGGAATTTATCTCTAGAATGTACGCCTTAAATGCTTCAGATTATTTTTCACACAGTCTTACGTGCCGTTATCTCGCATAGAACACAGGTGTGGTGTCAACTTCCAAGGTTAAGAAAACACAACCAAGAGAGAATATCTTTGCATATCTTTTGGTGCTTGTAGTTAGCTAGGGCTAGAGTTGTAGCAGCAATACATGTTACATAGGATAAGATTTTGGGATCCAAGATTCATGGTGCCTTCCACCAAGAGTTCTCAAGCCATTTCCCTCATACGTTCAAATACTTGTCTCACTGAGCATCTGTTTAAACTGGCGTAATAAGGTGTTTGATCAAGGAAGTAGGTGATAGCATTCGCTGGCTAGACCCTTTTTTCAAATATTACAGATAACAGTGTTTTAATCAGAAAAGTGCAGCAGGAAAAGGCGAGTAAGCCTCTAGATGTTCAAAGAGGGTAATTTTGTAACTGTGGTACTGCGTCGGTAAGGGGTATTACAAGACTTATCAATAAAGGGCAAAATTACTGAGCGCTGATTGGTTGAGAGAGAGGGCATTTTTTCTTAATCGAGGGCATTTTTAGTAATCAAGAGAGGGCATGATTACCTGTTAATGATTGGCTAATCCGTTGCATTACTAATCCGTTGCTTCCCAGATAAAAATAGACTGCGCGCGTGATTTTCCTTCGTATAAGTTTTGCCCTTTATTGATAAACAAGTAATCCCATGAGACCTCGTACTATTAAGGATTAATTGCACTTGAGTTTTCAAAATTTTCCAAATTGCCCTCGTCGCTTCGCGACTCGGGCAATTTTGGAAAATTTTGAAAACTCTCGTGCAATTAATCCTTAATAGTACTTGGCCTCATGTGATTACCTATACAAATAGAGAACAATACATGGGCGCGCGTAGATATGGAATTTCTCTTCGAGTGTTTAACTCGATAGCTCACGAGTGAGCGAACGAGTGAAATGTCGAGTTGAACACGAGAAGAGAAATTCCATATCTACAAGCAACCATGTATTATTTTGTTTATCATATAAACACAATAGCCCTTTACTGAGAAGAAAAGCCGACTTCATTAATGAATGAAAATAAATAAATCGACAATCCCCGAATAACAATCGTAGAGTGTGTTGGCGCTAACCCTTAAGATGGAAAAATGTGTCGAATCAAAAACAAAAATGGCCGTAATTTTCAATTTACAATATTCTCATTTATCGACTTTGTTCTTATGGACAGAAGAAGTCTTTCAGGTAAACGGCCAAAATTGGCCAATGGCAAATCTTCCAGTTGTCGATTTTCATTCTAAGCCGAGAGAAATGCTAACATCAAGGCCACTAAATACGTGACTTTTGGTTTTTCTTTTAGTATATAGGTTTTCTTCTCCTTTTAGGAAAGTTTGAACCTCTTTGTCTGTCAGCGATACGGATTTTTAAGTGTTCATTCATCAACCTGACCGAGTGACGCTAAAGGCGAGTGACATGTCAGCAGCTGATTGGCTATATCAACACACGTGAAAAAATACGATACTTTTTCACGTGTGTTGTTACAGCTTTTCTCAGGGCCGGAAAATCCATGTATAACACCGCAGTTAATGTGATAATTTGGTTTTATCAGTAATGTAAATTGACCAGCGCAAAGATTTTCTAAAGAATCTGCCAGGTGAACCTTCATTACCTTTATCTCCTTTTAATCCCATCATTCCAGGTTCACCCCGGTCACCAAGATCCCCTGACACCAGGCTCTCCCTTAGCTCCATCTTTTCCTTGTTGTCTTTGCAGTCCTGGGACGCCAGGAATTCCCGGTATTCAACAACCAAAGAAAACAGTTTTAGTGCAAATAAATTTCTCATAACGGTAATATAGGGAATAAATTGAAGATATTTCTGATATTTCCTTACTTTGGTCTTTCCTCTGTCTTAATTATCATCTCCTTTCCACACACACTGTTTCCAGTTGGTCTGTGACACTGCACTATTCACGATTTCTCCTTTCTCTCCTTTAGATCCCTGCTCTCCTTTCAAACCCCTGATTCCTTCTCTTCTTGTTTCCATCATCCCTCACGGTACCTTGACACCAGGCTCTTCCTTAGCTCCCTAGAAAATACTTAAGTTGTTATCATATTTCGGGAAATCACACGGGAAAAATATTTCCAATTTCATTAAAACGTCGCACTCTGCAGAAATATCTGAAGAATATTCTGGCCATGTTTCGCCAAAATCCGAAAATTTTACATACGCTATTAACTATTAATTTGTTTAAGTAGAGGTAAACTTGCGTGAAAACAAACCTCGAGTTTTTAACCCCTTAAACTGAAATTCGTAGTTTTCGCTCCTCATTTAAGTTTGTGTCGATGCAGTCATGGCACCAACCAATGAGAGGCAATATTAACCTCATGGCAAAGAGGTCCATGAAAATTCGAGGGAAAGGTCATCTTACGACGAAAACGAATGGGTTAAACAGATTAAGCGAAGTCCAAAAAATTCACCAAGAGAAGCAAATAGTGACGTCAGACATGTTTGCGTCATCAAAATCTTCTGCCTTCGATTTCTTTGGGCCTGGCTGTCTGTTGGAGGTTACCTCTCTTTATGACCGTTTCATGGCGACTCTTATTTCTCAATGTTTTGGGGAATGTGAAATTCACTTCTTTTGTGCAATACAATGCGCAATTTAAGCTTAAAAACAGAATATCTAGATTGTAGTCTAGCTGTTCTGGAAGCTTTAGTTTATACACATCTTTAGATATTTCTCAAAATCTTTTTACTGGACGTCTTGGCCTTTTAGGACTTTTCCCGGTGATTTTGCCTTCGTCTTTCAAATTATTTGTTTCTTTTGCTCCATCATAAACTCCTGAATTATTGTTTGGTTAAGGAAGAAATATAAATACCACTCACAAGTTTGAACTGTAACGAAGGGATTCCTCTTGATTCTGCATCCTGTTATCCGCGATCGCGTTAAGGTTTAGTCGTGAATCAGGGCAAACATACAAACACAACCACCATACCCATAAGCTTATCATTCTTTCCTGTTTACAAGAAAGTTATGCGCCCGTAGTAAGTAGACCAGCGGTCAGAAGTTCAAGGTTTTTGGTACCTCGAAATGCTTTCTTTTAACATGGTGGCCGTTTGAAATTACAGCGCTTGCGCAAGTCATTGCACGATTTGCGCCTAACGCGGTGCGTCATACAAATTCTTGGAGCTTGGTTTTTCTACGCTTAAAACCTTTTTGACACGAATTTCTGGAGAGGTTAGCGTAGTTAGCCTTAATTGGAGTCCAGCTCAGGCCCTAACGTAGTTGGGTGCCGATAATTCAGTGTGATTATGTCCGATCACGAAGACCACACAACTGACGAGCGCGCCCCTGAACCGTCAACGGACAGTAGCGCCCAGAATATGCCTTCAGCAAACGCTTTCGCGGATTTGTTCAAAGCTGCCTTGGCTCCAGTTCTGAGCCAGCTGACGAACTTGAACGAGAATGTGAGCTCAGTGCTCCTGAACGAGCACGACTACTCCGATGAGGACGGTTCAAACCGCCTCTAATGACGGGCCCGTCATTACAGCCATGACAAAAGCCGCCGATTTGGCGCTGGGCAAATACAGCCAAGACAAAGAACTGATCACTTATTAACAGATGCTGTTGCAATGGCACTTCAATACAACCACCAGGTGAATCACTCCCGACGCCTGGCCATGAAGAAAGAGATGCATAAAACCCATGCAGCTTTAATGAAAAGGACGTCTTTTTCCATGAGATCATGGCAAAGGCAGCTGGAAGTCTGCAGAGACCTTCCGTTAATATTACAACAAACCGGTTATTCAAGGAAACAGACTTGCTTCCGCTATCCTTGACCAGTGAAAACTTTGATATGTTTTTGGAATATTACATGTGCTACTTTGCTTCTTTTGTTACATGCAGTTAGACAATATATTACAAAAATGGTTATCATCGTTTATGTTCAACCTCTTACTTTTGTGTGGATTTCATGCCTCTTGTTCGAATGCATGTCGTATGAGTGCATCAACGCTTTAAAGTCTGATGGGATCTCTGCCTTCTGGTCATGTGACAGAATTGGAAAATTAAACGAGACTTACCTATAAGTTGAAGTTTGATTGAGATTATATCAACTGACATCAGAAGGCGAGAGAACAAATGCCCTCCACTATCACACCCACCTTTTCTAAGGCAATTTACCGGTCTCTTCCTACTTTTGGCTTTTTCAGCCTGCATGCTATTTTAGATGCACCCTGTGCGTGGCTTTTAATTATGACTTGCGCAAGCGCCGTGCTATCTCATGTGATCTCTCACCTTTCTTCTTTCTAGACATCTTTCTGACTTTTCCCTGACATAAACTTCATCTGTAGGACATACAAGTAAGAGGTTTAATATTTGGTTAACATTTTTACTCCCAAGATCTCATTTGTAATTCTCCTTACTGTCTGCCTGACAATTCTTGTGATGTGAGTTTTGAGAACTTGCTATTGGATCAAATAACAATTCCTTCTTGATATTTTGATGTATCTTCATCACTATTCTGCTTAACATTGTATTGATATTGTAAGGAGAAACTCTGTTTTGGTCACTCATGGGAGTTAAAGGGTTCGCAACGTATAACCGTCAGAAATGACCGTTTCCATTTCTCCTTTTGCGCCAGCTGATTAATTTTTGTAGCAAATCTCTCTCGAAGTCAATTTAAAATTAAAGGAAACACTTAAAACTTAAAGATTTCGAAAAAATTTCAATTTCTCCCACTCAGCAAATGCCAACGTTTCTGATGGTGGTTGGAGTCCTACACTTAAAAACAAAGCCGTAGTCACAGAGACCATCTACTCTTTATGCCATTATTTTCTTTATCCAATAACTGTATGCATAATGAAGCATGGAGCAATGAAGATATCTAACCCAGTCATTTTGTGACTACGAAAGGAAAAATCAACGGCGCCATTTCAAACTGTAAGCGATCCTCATGCGGCAAACAAAGTCTTATTTTTCAAAGTAGTCGTGAATAATCCATATGGAGAATTATACGACAAAAATGAATTTTTGGAATTGATTGATTTTACTGATTTTGAATAATTAACTAGAGCTGTCATTTTTGGTGAAGCTCTTTGTTAGCGGAAATTTTCCTCTTGCAGACATGAAAACCCTGATCAAAGGAGGTAAAACTGTTATGGAAAAGTTTTGATTCTGTCAAAAGCTGACCTATTCCAAGTTGTCATTCATGAAGTACACAATCAGCTTCCAACTGAATTCTCCTCTGCCATATGTTACAAAAAGTGACTAAGAACTGGGAATGAGGGTGGATTAAACAGGAAAATGGGAGTAATATGTTCTATTAGCTTACCTAATTACATTCAGTGAGATCAAGTAAAGGACAATACAACGTGATTAACAAAGGAAGTTTATTTCATTGTTATGGATTTTTAACATCTACAATAAAACCTTACTTTGGTCAGAAAAGCTGTTTACTTTCTTTCAAACTCTTCAAAATATTTCAAAATCTGTAATACAACAGACTTCTTCTGCAAGGCAAGAGTAAAGTTTTGCTTAATGAAACTGCAACTTTACATCTCATCTTTTGACTAATAGCAAAATGATAGATACTCTGGCTGTCCGTGCTCACTGACCCTTTGACGTTTTGTATCTACTTTTATGAATCTAAAATAATGGATGAATAAAAAGAGAATTATCTACTCCAGTCCTTAGGTGAAGATGACAGGGCTGATTAGGGCTGGGCTCTGGACACTTCCTCTATCATTATACGGGATACTGAGTTCCATCCAGTGTAAGCATTCCCCAGTACATAACCGGGACACTGTCCTACCCATAACTCCACAGTAACCCTACCCTGTGGAATGTTTTCACAGTATCCCTCAAATGATCTGTGATGAAGCAGATTAGGACTCCCAGATGGCCAGTGGTTGTACACAACAGCCTCAATTGTCATTGGTCCACTGCATTCATTTCCATTAAACTTGAAGAACCACCGGTTGCATTTAGCTGAAGTGCCGTCGACTCTCATATTTCCCTGGAATGAGACTTTAATAGCTGTATCAGACTGCGGTTTGTTGAATGAGCAATCCTATAAAAAATGTCAAGAAGACGGTCTTAGTGCAAAAAAACCTTTCATAGGAGTGTTATAGAAAATAATTTGATGATGACCTTATACTTTTCCTGTCTGCTTGAATGCACAGAATTGTTAATTGATATTTTTAGTTTGGCAGCATTTCTCAAAAGTCTGTTTTAGAGATGGCTCTAACACTTACTTCATTTTTCATTGCATTTTCTAGATATTTCTGTACCTTAATCTTTCCACTATCTCTACCATCATTATTTTTCCACACACACTGTTTCCAGTTGGTCTGTGACACTGCACCATTCACGATTTCTCCTCTTTCTCCTTTAGATCCCTGCTCTCCTTTCACACCCTTGATTCCTGGCGGTCCACTGCTGCCACGTGACCCTTCATGACCTTTATTTCCTTTTATTCCCATCATTCCAGGTGCACCATTTTTACCAAGTGACCCTGGATTTCCCTTTTGTCCTCTAGTTCCCGTCATACCTCTCGGTCCCTTGACACCAGGCTCCCCCTTAGCTCCATCTTTTCCTTGTTGTCCTTGCGGCCCTGGGGCGCCAGGAACTCCCGGCATTCCTGGTATGCCATTCGAACCTGGAATCCCAGAAAATCCGGGAGCAAAAACGGATTTCTGAGAAAGAAAAAAGAACGTATAGTAATTGGATGGACGTACTTGATGTTCATTGATATTTAATTGTCCGCCGAAGTAGCACAGCAGTTTCTTCAGAAGCTAATCACGTTGAGAATGTAACTTCGTTTTATGAGAAACAGCTCAGAACA